ATTAATAAATTAATAAATATGCGCGAACACCCCCGGGGCCGAGTTGGGAAATAATTAATTAATTTATCCATTAATTTGCGAACGCTCGCGCCCCCCCCCCCCGGGAATTAATTAATTAATTCACTAATTTATATTTGCGAACCGCCCCCGGGGCAATTCCGTTAATTAATTAATAAATTAATTTATATGCGATCCCCTCCCCCTCTTGCCACGGGCCGTGCCGGGAGTTCCCGGGGCAGTTCCGGTAATTAATTAATTAATTGATTAATTAATTGATTAATTAATATGCGAACCCCTCCCCCCATGGCCGTGCCGGGAGTTCCCGGGGCAGTTCCGGTAATTAATTAATTAATTATTAATTAATTGATTAATTAATATGCGAACCCCTCCCCCCGTGGCCGTGTCGGGAGTTCCCGGGGCAGTTCCGGGATTGAGCAATCAATGAGTTCATTAATTCATGCGTTAATTAATTAGCGGGGGCGGGGCCGTGACTGGAAAGGGGCGGGGACTTGCAGGAAAGGGGGCGTGGCCTATGTGTGGGCGTGGTCGGGGCGGGAAAGGGGGCGTGGCCTGCTCAGGGGGCGGGGCCTGGCAGGGATCGGACCTACCGGGGAATGGGCGTGGTTTGGTCGGGGGCGTGGCCGTGGCGGGAAAGGGGGCGTGGCCTGCTCAGGGGGCGGGGCCTGGCAGGGATCGGACCTACCGGGGAATGGGCGTGGTTTGGTCGGGGGCGTGGTCATGCCGGGAAGGGGCGTGGCCTGGTCTGGGGGCGGGGCCGGGGCCGTTCGAGAAAGCTCCGGGACCGGGACCGGGAACGGGAACCGGACCGGGAGCGGGACCGGGAACGGGACCGGGAGCGAGGTAACGGAGCGGGGACCCCGGACCCCCGAACCCCGAATTCCCGCTCCCTGAATCCCAAATCGCGAATTCCCAAATTCCCGAACCCCAAATCCCCGAATTGCCGAATCCCCGAACCCCGAATTCCGGTCCCTGAATCCCAAATCCCCGAATTCCCGGTCCCTGAATCCCAAATCCCCGAATTCCCGGTCCCCCGAACCCCGAATTCGCGGTCCCTGAATCCCAAATCGCGAATTCCCAAATTCCCGAACCCCAAATCCCCGAATTCCCGAATCCCCGAACCCCGAATTCCGGTCCCTGAATCTCTGATCCCCGAATTCCCGAACCCCCAAATCCCCGAATTCCCGAACCCTCGAACCCCGAATTCCCGAGCTCCAAACCTCCGAACCCCAAATCCCCAAATCCTAAAATCCCCGAATTCCCGAACCCCGAATTCCCGGTCCCTGAATCTCTGATCCCCGAATTCCCGAACCCCAAAATCCCCGAATTCCCGATCCCCGAATCCTCTGACCCCCAAAATCCCCGAACCCCAAACCCCCGAATCCTGAAACTTAAATTCCCAAATCCCTAAATACCCCAACCCCAAATCCCGGAATCCCGAATTCCCGAACCCCCAAATCCCAAATTCCCCATCCCAGAATCCCAAATCCCCAAAACCTGAATCGCCGGACTTCATATTCCCAAATCCCAAAACCCCAAATTCTCGACTCCCCAAATCCCTGCATCCCAAATCCCTGAACCCCCAAATCTGCAAATCCCAAATCCCCCTTTTTTCTCTTTTTCCCATTTTTTCCCCTTTTCCCCCTTTTTTTCCATTTCCCCCCTTTCCCATCCCCCCCTCAGTTTTGGGGTCCCCGGGCGTTTTTGGGGATTTTTTTGGGTTTTTTGGGGGTTTTTTGGGGGGTTTTTGGGGTGGGGGAGGGGCTGGAGCGGGCGATGCCCGGCGGGAATTTCCCACAATTCCCCGCGCGGGGCAGGAGCGGGGCCGGGATTTGGGATTTTGGGGATTTTGGGGATTTTGGGGATTTTTGGGGGCATTTAGGATTGGGGGGGGGGCGTTATTTAGGGTTTGGGGGAAATTCTTTGAGGTTTGGGATTATTTGGGATTTTGGGGTTCTTTGGGATTTGGGATTATTTGGGATTTTGGGATTATTTGGGATTTTGGGGAAGTTATTTGGGATTTGGGATGGTTTATTTAGGATTTGGGGGAAATTATTTGGGATTTGGGATACGGGAAGTTGTTTGGGATGGGTTCTTTGGGATTTGGGGTGATTTGGGATTTTGGGGGGTTCTTTGGGAGTTCTTTGGGATGCGGGATGGGGTTTTTTAGGATTTGGGGTTTTTTATTTGGGGGCGTTGTTTGGGGTTTGGGAGGTGGTTTTGGTTTATTTGGGTTTTATTTGGATTTTATTTGGACTTTATTGGGATTTTATTTGGGTTTTATTTGGGCTTTATTTGGGTTTTATTTGGGTTTTATTTGGGTTTATTTCAGTTCCTTTCCAAAGTTTAGCTTTTGTTCGAGTTTTATTTGGGTTTATTTGGGTTTTATTTGTGCTTATTTTGTTTTATTTGGGTTTATTTCACTGTATTTCCGTTGTTTTGGGTTTATTTGGGTTTATTTGGGTTTTATTTTGTTTTATTTGGGTTTATTTCAGTTCCTTTCCGTTGTTTGGGTTTATTTTGTTTTATTTGGGTTTATTTTGTTTAATTTGGGTTTATTTCAGTTCCTTTCCGTTGTTTGGGTCGGTTTCGGGTTTTTTTGGGATTTCACAATCCCGGAGCGGGCGGGGG